TCTCTTGTCTTTCTCTTGTCTTTCTCTTGTCTTTCTCTTGTCTTTCTTCATTCTTCTCCTTTCCTGTCTTTTATTTTCTTTCTTTTTTTTAATTCTTTTTTTTAGGTATGAAGCCAAATTTCGACAAAAACTTCTCGAATACACAGATTCCAACAACATTGCTTCCCTTTTCCTTACAGCTGCCAATCGCTGGCTGGAAGTTCGCATGGCAAGTACATTAATTACTGAGTGTACACAATGAATTTTTGACTTTGTTCCAAGGAATCCAACAGCCTCATCGGGGTTTCAAAGCTATACCTTTGCCCTCTGTGTCTCTCTGACTGTAATGAGCACGTGCCAAACCCATCCTGGAACCTGAATGGAGTATGAATTTTCCCTTATAGCTTGCAGCTGTTTTTCCAAGACAAGAATAGTTTTTATAGGTCACATTGGCTCCTCTGTGTGTGAAGAGTGATCAGAGCTAGTTGAGCAGTGGCACCAGCCAGGATGCCATTGTGGAAGGAACCATATCAGTCAATGTCAGCAGGTCCCCGCCTTATGGCTCCCTAGGAATATTTCTACTCGGAAGCTCTCTGAATGAGCAGAAGGTTGTAGATAGGTTTGTGCCTGTTTTGGGGTCGTCTGAAGAATCCCAAACATATTCTGTGGCCTGTTTCCTGCTCAGTTAAGTGGCCTGGCATGAGAAATGGTTTATTAAAAATAATTCTCCAAGACACAAACCAAGGAATTTTATATTGTGGATGGTGGTATCAGATTTTTAGATGCAGACGTTGTACCGCTGTTCTGGTAACATGGACTCCGTTTGTACGTAATAAACGTATGTTAATTCAACTTTCGTGCCATTTTTTCTGGCACCTGTTGCTACTTAAGTTCAGGTATTGAGTATGACTTAAATAAAGTGTTATTATCCTTTTATATGTTCAGACCTAGACCACCCGAAGTCCCTAATTCTGATCAATGCCTATATCACTAAACAGTACAAACATAGACAAGTGACAGTTTCCCTCCTACAGAGTTTGTTCTCTAGTCTGTTACCCGATTTTACTCAAAGAACTGTCTGGGGGAAGTCAAATCACCAGTGATTTAACTTCAAGCAGCAAAAGCCCATTATGGGTGGACATAGTCCAACTAACAGGTACATGCTGTGCAAGAACAGCTTGTTTGAAAAAATATGGATGGTAGCAATTCAGCAGCAACAGCTGAGCCTACCAGTGGTTCATCATCAGCCACAGAGAGAGGATCTGCTCACAGATGGGACCACGTGAACATTTCCCTCCTATCCCAGGTAACATCAGCTGCAAGGTTTCAACCACCTCCATTACATGCTTAAGATACCTGTGTTGACTTCTCCAGATGAAGATTAGGAGTATTGTTACAATAGCATTTTCAAACATCATGGCCCCACTAAAGGCAGTAAGAATGGTTTCCTAGGCAGGGTCTGTATGGAGTTACATGGGGTTTTTGGCCTGTATTTCAAAATATGCAATGGCTTTGTTATTTGATATGCTAAGTTATGAGAATGTTTTGATCCTTTGTAGACTTATAGTGATGGAGCTTATTCATATTCCTTCAGGAGTACATTGGAGCATGTGTGGTACTCATAGCAGCTGTCACTTCTATTACCAGTTGCCTGTATAATAAACTCACTTCAGGACTTGTAGGCTTGGGACTAACCTATGCTCTTATGGTAAGAATCTCGGGACCCTTTCTGTCTCTCCCAAACATTTTTTTGTAATTCTTCAGGGCACAAAGATGAACAGGAAGATTGAAGGTGTCTGTACATCTATAGTGGGTACTGTAACATCACTGAAACCATGTGCTTACATCAGTTCACATTTAATGCTTGACATATTTGAGTGTATGTTTCCTTCAGTTTTTAGATAAAATGCATATCAAGGTGTTAGTTCAAATATGTCAACAAAACATGGCCAATTTGCTTCATAATTTTTATGTTGTCTTGCATTGTGAAGAATACATTTTCAATGCATCAATTGTAATTATGCCCTGGCACATCATTCTAGATTGTCAAACCTTATGTTACCAAAATGATGTCTTGTCACCTGTCTTAATTGTTTCCCCCCTCTTTTCTGTGGATGTAGATAGATCTCCATAGTACCAAAGTATCTGTGCACTGCAGTTAGGAAATTTAACCTTTAGTCATTGTTGCCTCCCTGTTGATGTGCACCATACAGTTTGTTCACAACCTTCCACTTATTGAGGCGTTCCTGTGTAGGAATATAAACTGCATGCTGGTCAAATGATGCAAACTACTAAAAATCTGGAATTTAGTCATGTATTTGCTTTGCATCAGGTGTCTAACTATCTGAATTGGATGGTTCGTAACCTGGCTGACATGGAGATCCAGCTGGGTGCAGTGAAAAGAATCAATGGCCTTCTCAAAACAGAAGCTGAAAATTACGAAGGGCTCCTTTGTAAGTGCAGTTTTGTGCAGCATGCAGAATGAGCTTTCTGAAATTTTAATGATTCTGTAGTGTATTACCATGGAAATTGTGGTAAATCACTTAATGGACCAATTAATTTATCACAAGAGGGTTGATTTTTTAATTTTTTTTTCCCTCCTGCCACTGTGGTCCTGGTACAGCTTCCTCACAGATTCCCCAGAACTGGCCAGACAGAGGGGAAATCCAAATCCAGAACCTCAGTGTCCGATATGACAGCAACTTAAAGCCAGTGCTAAAGCACGTCAATGCCCACATCTCACCTGGACAAAAGGTAAAGAACTGCAATAATTCTGAGAAGCTTTTTATACTGGCACATCACATAAATCAGAGTTAAAAAACATACCACAGAATGTTTTGATGACTGAATTACAGTGGGTTTTTTCTCTCAAAGAATGAAGTGGACTGAAAAGGGGTCTGGGGGATTGGATTGTTAGCTTGGTATGTTTAAGCATACACCCCCCCTCAGTATCCCAGTGCTCTGCCATCAGCAAACTGTGCCAGAAGAAGTGACAGTGAGCTCTTACTGCGCTAGACCTATTTTTCATCTTTCTCATGTGACTCTCTTGCCTTTATCCCCATCATTACTGCTCTCCTATTGTTCCTGTATATAGGACTGGCCTCGATTTATCCTTAAATGCTCAGACCCCTAAAGACAAAAAGCAAATGTAGTGATTCTGTTATAGCCAGTTCGGTTTGACTGACCTGTCAGGATGCCAAGAGGATCATGTGGATCAGAACAGCTCCTCCACCGACTCCTCTGAAGTGTCAAGTACAGACATTATCCATTTCTTCTTGCCTGATGTTCATCTGCTTTCTGTGTCACAGATTGGGATCTGCGGCCGAACAGGCAGTGGAAAATCCTCCTTCTCTCTTGCATTTTTCAGAATGGTTGACACTTTTGAGGGTAAGATTACATTTTTGTGTATCAGTCAAGCTTAGTACCTGAAGGTGCTTTGGTAGCCGCCTTCTTAACATCAGCAGCTCTGAAGTGTGGGTTTTGAATCTGCAGGACACACTTTCTGGCCCTGTTTAAATCCAATGTCATCTGTCACCTAACAGCTGTGCCATTCCTAAGCTGGATCAATAAAAATTCTACTTGACAGAAGCAAAAGTCCAAGAGTGACATATGACAGCCTTTTGTGCTGTTAAATCACAACAGTGGAAGGAAAGCATAAAAGGGAAAAGTGTCCAAGCACAAAGAAAGATCCAAGGCACAGATGGGATCTGCTGGGCCCAGAAAAGTCAGCAACTGGGGGTTGCAGTTTGGCCTGCTGCCCTGGAATTTCCTGCCATATTTCCTGCTCTGTGTGCCATGTCCATGGCCATGCATTCACGGAGTGCATCTCAAAAAGATGTTAGCCCGTTTCCCAACCACATCACCCACAGAGCCCTTATGCGGAGCCAGACAGTTGTACTTGGAGATACAATTTCATAGTGCTCAACAGTAATTTGGCTTTCTGAAACGCTTGTTGCCCCCAGTAATTAGTCCCTGATTGAAGTAAAGTCTGACCTTATTGTTAGATAAATGTTTATATTGGTCAAGCAGTTAAGCAGTGTGTCTAATCATTCATAAGATACTACAGGTATACTTCGTGTTCTTTCCAGCTGCAGCTGAGTCTCCGGGCAGTTGTGTTTGCTGCTTAGCCAAAGCATGTTTCATTAGTGAAGGGGATATGTGATACAGGGCCTGTTCCTGCTGTATTGCATTTCAGCCTAGAAGTGAGCCGTGTCTTTGCCAGCAGCTGTGTGGCACAATAAACAGACTGTCCATTTTCTTTTGAATAGGAAGGATTATCATCGATGGTATAGATATTGCTAAGCTCCCCTTACAGACGTTAAGATCCAGGCTGTCAATCATTCTCCAAGATCCTATTTTATTCAGTGGAACAATCCGGTAAGTATTAAGCACCATCAATAAATAAAGCAATAGGTAATTGCTTATATGTCATATAATATGAATTATATATGCTAATTTAACTATATAATTACTTTTATGCCCAGCTGTTCAATTCCAGTGTCCTCAGTTGGAGTAGGGAGGATCGCTGCCTTCTGTCTGTCGTTTTCACTCACCCTGTTTTGATCTATCTGTCTTAAAATAGGAGATGGAAAAAATGCAGACTACCAAATGATGTAGACAGAGGGAAAGCAATAGAATATGAGAAGTACTGGGAGACTGGTCTATTTTATCCATGTTTCTTCTCTAGTCTTTGAGCTGGTCTCTCATCTGTGACACCAAACACCTTAGTTCCTGGTGGGGTTTTTTTTGTTCTCTTCCTAATTCTCTGAGAAGAGGTTGCAGTAGAAACAATGGCAAAAATTCCACAGTTTCCAGCAAATATCCTTCCCTATGTCCATGGCATTTACCTAGGGAAAAGAACAGTACCATCCTCAGTGCACAGTTATATCACCTGCAGTTGTAGTTTCTACATAAGTCATTAGAGTTCACTGAAAATGATACAGGTTTCTGTGGTTTGCTGACTCCATGCTAATACAGATCTCATGGTTATCTCCTGAACGTGCCTGAATAGAGCACAATTCATTCTCATCAAGAAGATGATGTGATTGTATACCTTTGTTGTGCTAATTAACCTATTAAAAAATTTATTTAGGCCAGCATCTGTCATTCACAACACATACAGCAAGAGTAAAACATAAAAATACAGTGTTATGCACCATTGAATCTTTTATTATCATTCCATATACTAATGTAACATGAGATTCACATTTGTTGCTATCGTTTCTGGGCCACAGCAAGCTAAAATAATGTTCATCTATTCATAAATGCAAGATTTGCTAATTTGCAGTAAAGACTTGCATTTCATAATGCAGTATGAAACTTGATTATTCTGTTAAGGTTTCTGTAGGAGTGAAAAACAAAGAGACACTGGATTTAAAAGGAGAGAGGGTAGATTTTTGCCCTTTGTTAAAAAATTAGTGTTAATTTAAACTTGAGTATAGTCATAGGTTTTTCCAGTAAAACATGAGAATTTCTTTAGTTTATTCAGAACAAAATAAATTATAAAACCATAAAGATATCTGCAAAACAGGAAGCTTTTTTCTTTCTGCTCAACTGAAAGTGTCAAATTTTCTTCTTAATCACATTGGTGTAAATTTGTTTCTAAGCACACTAAAAGAAGAAATCCATTGCAGAAGTTTCTATTGACTGATGTTCTTGAATTACCCGTGACTGTAGGTTTAACTTGGACCCTGAGAAGAAATGCACTGACAGCATGCTGTGGGAAGCACTGGAAATAGCACAGCTCAAGCATGTGGTGAAAGCACTACCTGGGGGTCTAGGTAATAAGACTTCCTTTTGAGAATATTGTTTCCAGTATTCACAACATTCCTTTTTCACATCTATTTATTAAAAGGGTAGTTGATGAAGAAAGAGCTTTTTAGGTTTATGGAAGGTGACAAAAAGTGCTTGGCTGGAGTCAAAGGTCCTACAGCCATGTAACTGCTTTATCAACTGTAGCTGTGGAGCAGAATCCTCTTTCTTTTCAAATCAGTGGGTATGTCTTCATTATGAAGTATTTAGGTTTGTGGGTCTCTTAAATGCAAATAAGGTGTCAACAAGTCAGGTGTTATCTAGAACATGTTTTTTTTTTTTTATTTTCCCATAGTCATGTCCAGGGAGGAAGATTTCAAAAGCTTAAAGGTGTGAATCATTTGGCCATGAAAAAAAAAACAAAACAAAACAAACAAACAAACAAACAAATGAACCATCAATAAAATCCCTTAAAATGTATAATCCTAAATTACACATCCTTAGGGTAAAGAATTGATGGATGCTGCTTTGATAGGGAGGTGCCGTGTCATAGAGTTCCGTAGAAACTCACTCTTAAACATCCTTAGCTACTTTGATATCTAACAGATATAAAGAATATAGTGAGACAAAAGTACAGGTTGTTTTGAACAATGGAAATAAACAGGTAAAATAACATCACCAACAGCTGTAGACTGAGGAAATATTACTTTGTGCTGAAAGTGAGACATTATTTTCCAAGCACGTGCTCTGTTCTGATCTGACCTTCTCGTACACACACACAGTATAAATACTGTTTTTGTTGTATCATTTCCAGATGCTATAGTCACAGAAGGGGGTGAAAACTTTAGCCAGGGCCAAAGGCAGCTGTTCTGCCTGGCAAGGGCTTTTGTGCGGAAGACGAGCATCTTCATCATGGATGAAGCCACAGCATCTATTGACATGGCAACGGTGAGTTTAGAGTGTTTCTGATTTCTTGTTTTCCTTGAAGGAGAGACAACTGACAACATGTGAAGAAAAGGTAGAAAGCAATCCTATCTACTCTCTAGTATGCTTATGCCATATTTAGTGCAGATGTGTTCACAAGTCCACGTGATTGGGAGTCATTGCTAACAAATCCAAAGACCTTTCAAACCATTTTACTATGAATTTAATAGATATTGCGGAACTGCTTGCATTAGGAAAATGAAGCAGGTTATTTTAATTGGCAGTTTCTAAAGTAAACAAAGCTTTGGAAGGTCAGCTGGAACTGTCAGTGAAAGGTAAATGGGCAAGCAACAAATTTCCCCAGCAGGGTGGACAGGACACGTCAGGAAGTTAAAAGACTTGAAAGTAGAGTCAAGGAAATAAACAGAGTCACAGAAAAGACATACTAGATTATTGCATTAATTGTCTGGAGTTGCTGGGCAGATGTTAAACCACTCAATAATAATGCAGTGACTGGATTTTAACCAAATAGAATGGTACGTTTTTAGGATTTTTTTCCATCTGTTAGGTTGCTACAATAAAGGTTTCAGTCTCCTTCCTGCTATAAGTAAAGAAAATATTTGGGGTGGGATGGTTTACAACAGCTACAATTTTTAGTTCAGTAAAATGTTAAGTTGTCGGTAGGGTTGGGAATTCTACTGTATGCAGCCCAGTTAAAACACATTTTGGATTTTGACACATTAAGAATAGAGTTCCTACCTTGAAATACTTATCTAAAGAACAGATAACACCAAATGAAAGTATCTGTGTTAGTGACACTTCTAGGCAGTTTGGTATGCAACGTCTCCTACATAGCAAAGGATGAGTACTTGTTGAGTGAGAGCTATGTATGTTAAGACCATCTTAAATATCATCTCCACTGTTAAATATGCCAGGTACAGCACACTCCCTTGTTTATCTCTGTCAGCCCTTGGTGTTAGATGTTCCCAGTGTGCTGGAACATTCCTGGACTTGCAGTGGGGAGAAGAACACACTACTGAGTGCCAGCATAGTTGCAGCCTCGCAGCACCCTGAATTCACCTTGGATTTCCCCACTGTAAACCTGGTCAGGAGAGCAGGAGTTTTGAGGGCCAGAGCACAGCTCTTGTGTCCTCTGAACCCCAGAGGCAGTGGGAGTAGCAGGGGAGCAGGGCTGTCTAACTGGAGACCAGGCTCTGGCTTCGTTCTGGCATGCAGTTAATTTTTCATTTCTGTGGTGCAAGATCAATAAAAGCATGGAATAATCAGTGGTTACTTAGGCCTTCTTATTGTCTGTGTCTATCATGTAAATTCTGTTGTTTGAAAAGCATAAAATATTCTTCTTTCCATAGGAGAACATACTCCAGAAGGTGGTCATGACTGCATTTGCTGACCGTACTGTGGTTACAATAGCAGTAAGTACAGTCTCTGCTGCTATTCTAAGGCAAACAAGAATCAGAAATGCCCCATTAGTCAGTTCTTGTCAATGTTAATAAATATGCTAATTTGGCCATTAATCTTTTTTTCAAGTGGTTTTTAAATGTAAGCTTTCCTTTCCAATTTAAACTACTTTCTTACTTACATTCATAATAGCAGCTTCCTAAATGTGCTGTGTGATGCTAAGTGAGATTGCCTGTAAAGGCTCCTAATCTGTGTATGTAGTCTGTCTTCTGTTACCCATTTTAGGCTAATTTAAAATACCATATGCTTTGACTACTGTGAAATCTAAGAAAAAGTTTCATCAAGCTAAAATAATTATTTAATTAAGGACAAGTAAAAAAATACACATATTTCAGGGAGGTAAAATAAAGTCAGTATGCTTCTTAACACTTAAAAATTGAATCAAGAAATCTGTGCTCAGGAATCTTTGAGCATCATTTAATCTCACCTAGCACACGTATCATAGAAAACCTGATTTATCTTATGGTATCCATTCAGTGTGTCATTATAAAAAAGCAAAGGAACCATAAGCACGAAATTTCCTGATTTCTCTGCATGAAAATTCAGAGTTGCACTGCATTCTGCATTTGTGTATCTTTTTCAGTTTGTTTGGGGACAGATTTATTAGTTTTTTACTCTCTTAGTGAGTTTTAAACTGTACAGTTCAAACAAATGACAACTTGGAATAAACTCACTTTTAATGTTTTTTCTTCCAATTGTAAATGTGGTTTACAGCAGGTGGGTTTGTAGACAAAACATTCTATAGCAGAATCATGACATTGTTTTAGGGGGTATCGGGTAGTAGTTTTGGCCTTTTTTTGTTTGGGTTGTTCTTTTGGGAGTTGGGAGGGTTGGTTGGTTGTTTTTGTTTGTTTGCTTTTTCCAGAGAAAACCATATATTCCTAAATTGTGTTAAGGAAGAACAGTAATGGGAAGAGTTATAGTATTGGCCCTGTATTATCTTCTGTGTTACCTGCTGGGTTACCACAACGGCAGCTCTGACTGTGTTATACTGAAAGAGATCAGACAACAAGGGCAACAAGTTCAACGGGAATGTGATATTTCAGTTCCCTCCCACTGCCTGTGGACTGGATAAATGTCACAGAAACTGCAGCAGAAATGAGATTTGTAGATGCCATCAGTGATTATTTTATGGAACATCTGGCTAAGCAGCCACAGAAGGAAATACAAGAGCTGCTTCTGTACAGAGGGTGCCCAAAACCTGATAAAGACCCTTATAGGTAAAAAGCGACTGTGTAACAGCAACCACAGTATTCTGAGATTAAATATCCCTGCAGGAGTAATGCAGACCCCAAAAATTCCGTGCAGTTACACTCAATGTTAAAAAGTGGAATTCTGTCAATATGGGTAGGCTTGCAAAAAAACAAAACCCAAAAAAAATGATGAAAAAAAAGCTAAAGGAAGCAGCAAAGAAAATTGAATGTCTGACAGACATTTTGGAAATTACTGAAGGATTTTATTTTGAAAAAAGAAACAATGCATGCTATTTATAAGGAAATACTTGAGTAAGGATAGAAAGACAGTGGTATGGTTAAACAAATAAAAAAGATTCTTAAAAACAAGAAGGCATTCTTGTAAAAGCTGAACTCATAGCCAAATAAAGAAAAGAGAAATTATCAAAATGGCATGTTACATGTGAAGACAAAAGAAAACAAAAAGAGAGCAGTGTCTGTGAGCCATAAAAAGTAATAAATAATCCATGAAACACACCAAGAGCAAGATGTCAGTCAGTTTACAGGGCTATTTGATGATCGATTCATGAAAGATAACGTTATTGCAGAAAAGTTGAAGTAATTGGTTTCACTGGAAAAAAATGGGGAGGTTTCTTGCTAATAAAATTAATCAATCAATTAAGTTAGGGCTTACTAGGAAAAGGGGAGGGAACAAAAAAAAGAAAACAAAATACCACTGTATAAGTCCATAGTTCACGTATACCTTGAATATTGTGTGTGGTTCCAGCCTCCTCGTTCCCAGAACAACACATTACAGCTGAAAAATGTTGAGAAACACAAGTATGATTGGAGGTGCTAGAATTGCTCCAAAAGGGGAGCAGCTGAGTAGGCTGGGGCTCTTCTTTCTGGAAGAAGGACAATGTAAGGACATGTGAGAGAGGTCTGCAAAGTCATGAGTCAAGGGGCATTAGATGAAGCTCTGAGCAACAAGGCCCAGAGCACACAAAATGAGGGAGTACTTGTTCATACAGTGGGGTGGAAGTGTAGAAAAATCTTTTCCAAAGGATACAGATGCAAAATATTTATGAAAGCTCAAGAGAAGACATGGGCAAAGTCTTAGAAAAATGATCTATTTGGTTTTACAAATGCACAAACCACATCAAGCTCAAGAACGCTCCCTGACCTAGAAGTAACCCAGGACTGGGAGAATTCCCACATGCAGTACCACACTTGCTTGCCCTGTTCTACTCTGCCTGGCCACTGTCCTGTGGCAGCACTTGGTGGCAGGACACTGGGCTGAGGACATTCTAGTGTGGACTCATAGGACTCTTCATACTGAAGTACCTGTGTGCTGTTTAGATACTTGAATACCCACATGGCCCTTGGTGTGTATACTTATCTGCAGTATTTGCACAGTAAATAAGGATGAAAAGTAGGATAAGTAGCCTGAATAAGACTTGAACTTGATACGAAAACTAATTTCTGGAAGTCTGTCTTATCTTGGAATATATTGGGATAGATACACTGACCTGGCATTTTGCTTATTTGTTTTTCAGCACCGTGTGAACACGATTCTCAATGCAGATTTGGTTATCGTAATGAAGAGAGGTGTGATTTTGGAATATGACAAGCCAGAGGTTCTGCTAGAACAAGAAGACAGTGTCTTTGCTTCTTTTGTACAAGCAGATAAGTAGTAAAAAAAAAAAAAAATTTTAGATTACAATTGTATTATTTTCTATAAATGTAAAATACCTGTAAATAAATATTATTTCATAATAAATTGAGCTTTTCCTTTTTTAATAAAATGAGCCATTTTTCTCCATCTAAAGCATTAATGAATTATCTGTGTACTTTACTTTTTTGTATACAACTACTCTTCTTTTTATTTGCTACCAAAGAACCGTGAAATATAGTTGAGAAAAACTACATGGGTGAAGTGCAACAGGATACACACCAAACAAACATAGCCAGCATGGAGTTTTTATGTAACTCTCCAACCTCTCCTGTCATTTATGAACATGTTATTTTTTTAATGTGTCATAGCCCTACTGTAAATAACGCTCGTGACTTACTAAATGCAGAAGGAAAAATTATATACCAAAGGTATTTCTCAAAAGCTTGTATCTCTTTCAATCATACGACTTTGTAAAGCTTTAATATCCAAATATAAAATCTATAAAACATTTTTTATATTGTGGTTTATTGATAGTGCCTGTGTTGTCTTAGACTCTCTAATACCTTCTAGAAATTAGTCACAATCTGATTCCATCTCTATGCCCATAGAATACTGATTCCAAGCAGGATTGAGGCAGACTCTTTCCCAAACTGTGAAGAAGCTGAGAGGAGGCAGGCTGTGATAAAGTATCAGTGTTTAATGCACACTGTTTCCAGACCAGTGCAGACGTACCAATTCATCTGGAAATTATCCCTCCAAGTCTGGTAAATAAACAGTATTAAACCTTTCACTGTAGCTCAGAGCCATAAGAACTTGACTCATCGTCTCCTCTTTTCACATATTTCACCCACTGTCATGCTGTTTCTGGATTCACTGTGATCCTTAGAATTGTATTATATATACTTATTAGGATAATTTTTAACCACTGAAAGTATCCTAATATGGCTAGATGGCTACTCATCTCTGCCCTGTGAGAATCATTTCAGGTTTTTTTCATTGCTAGGGGGTTAAAATGTCAATAACCCAATGGAAGGCTGCAGTGCATTTTTCACTCTTATTCTTTATACAGCAACTTTGCCTTTACATACTTTTTCTTGTTGTCATCCTCCCCTTTTTGAAGAATTCCTGACACTTTGGAGAACTCTTTTTTTGTCTCTTTAATCTGCTCAATTAATTTGGAAGGTGTTTTTAAAGGCTTCATTTTCTACAAAGAGACAGCTTGATGTTCTCATGGGATATATGATATTTTAATGCATTACTTCTAACACTGCCGCAGAGAGCAAGGAAAACTGAAGAACTGTTGTTGCTGTTTAAGTAGTGTTACCAGTGCCACAGCAGAGGATTTGCAGCATTTGCCTGCTGTTATTTGGGCAATAACAAAGGGCAGGTCACTGGTGTATGAGCAGTGTTAAAAGTAGGGAGGTGTAGGATATGGTTATGCAGATTAAATGCATGAGCTCTGACATTGCCTACTACACTTAAAGAGAGAAAATGGGCAGCTGGAAGATATCTCCTCCTCCAGGGAATCATTTGCTGGGCAATGTCCCAGAAAAAATGGCTGCAGAACTATTTGTGTGGTTTTACTCTGGGATACCAGGCTTCCATTAGGGCAGAGTAAGAGCAAATGGGAGACAGGTGACTATCCTTTTAAGGGCACAGAGCAGGTTTCTAATACAGCTACTGTGTATGCTGTCTCCTAATTTCCCAGTACTGGTTCAAGGCAGGATGTCATCCTGTAAAGACTTAGGAAAACACCACTCTGCAGTTCAGCTCAAACTCATGCTGCAGAGAGAAATCCTCAGAGGTTTTGCAGCCATCTGTGGAAGATCCCAAATCCTAATGGAAAGAGGAGAGATGCAGAGAAGTGAGACTTCATATGCTTTTAATTAAGTGCCTGGGATTTGACACTGCAATTTGGACTAGCTCCTATTCTACAAGCTTCTGACAACCTTACCCAGAAGGGAAAGCAGGGGAGTAAAGGACACAGCATATGTGACTGTGCTATATCTCGCAGTATTAAGAAATTAGAACTCACAGTACAAGTGTCATATGTTTCCATTTTAAATGGGACATATTTCACAAAAGCAGTATTGTAGAAGAGTAGGGTGAGTTGGTTCATATTCAACGATTTTATATCTTTTCATGGTACCACAATATTGAATAAATACGTGTGAACAGGGAGAGTCTCAGCTGCCACTTGAACAGGACACACTTGACATTTCCTCAGCATGTTTTATCTGGTCTTCTTGATATGGGACCAAGTCCCAGGGATTTTCTGCCCCTAACTCCAAAGGGTTAGAGTCTCAACCGTGATCTGAAGCAATACCCAAGAATGCTTTTCTATGGTGGGAGGCTCGCTGTGTTTATCCAAGTCAATAAACCTTGTTGCCTCAAGATAGGCAGTCCAGAAGTTGCTACTGAATCAGGCTCATATGTGTTTTCATGGCAATGAAGCATTGCTAAGCAAAGGGCTGTACTGAAATGGCTGCAAGAAAGCACAGGAGCAGCCATGGCCTGACTTTCAGTTCTCCTCTGGGATGGGACTCAGTTCAGTCCCAAAGGTATTCGTGGGATAAACTGCCCATGGAGATGTAACCAGGATTTTTTTTGCTTCCTTTCTATAAATGCTTCCATTATATGAAAACCTTTATAGCATTTATTCCCCTGTCTTAATGTGGCCATTTCATCATGTTCTGATTTCCAAGGGAAGCCTTTGTAGCCTTACTCTGCTTCTAACGGCAGAGTAATACCATGGCAACAGCTAGATTTTAATTTAACAATTATCCTAAGATCTCATAGCCATTAAAATTAGGATAAATTGGGGTAGAGGGAGTTTTGAAATGTAAAACCTATTTTTGGTTTGAAAAACTTACCCCCTGTGATTCAATATTACAGAGTGGGATTGTTCATTCCTGGGAGCCTAATTTGTTCAGGAGCTCTTAACACAACTATGTTGGCTCACTCAGAAGATCTGTCACTCTTTTCTTTTAAGTACCTGCCACTTGATCCCCAACGACAGGGCTTCTTTTTATTCTGGTCTAGAAATTCCTCAGCAGAAGCCACTTGCTTTGCTATCCCATCTCAGCCCCTAAGTGCTGAAGTAGAGAAAAAGAAGTAGCCAGTGATAGTCCCAATAAAGAAGTGGGAACAAGGAAACACCATTCTAGTTCTATAGAGTTCAGGATTCCTAAAACCAACACAGTGAATGTGTTCGTGCCATATCCCTGGCTGTAGCGGGCTCCGTGGGTAGTTCCTAGCACCAGGCGGTGCAGCGGTTTACTCTTCCCTTTAAAACACTCCCCCCACAAGTTTTTATCCATTCTACATTCATGGAGGTACCGCCCCCTGGAGGAAAAGGTACAGAATAAGCCCACGGCTAGAAAAGAGTACGGAAAAACGGCACAGAAGTCAGGACTACCTCTTGAATCCCTATGGCCATCTTTGCAAAAGAGTGTGAAATGTTGCCTGCGAACTGCATGGTGTTATACGGCCTCCTCAAGCTCACCGCAAAATGCTGGAAGTATGAGCTGCTATCAGCCAGAGAACTACATTTTGACAAGTAAATCTTCAAATTACTGCATCCTTTTGGGTTGTTTTGGGGTTTTTTTAAATCTTTAGGAAAAAAAGTATTTAAAAAAAAAACAAACTTTTAAAAAAATTAAACTGTATATATAAATCATGTGCTTGGCATGATTTATGTATAAAACTAAAAGTGTAGGTGCAGGTGACATATTCACAGTAAGCACACAAAAAGAGCCAAGCAAAGTGATACAGAGAAAGGGGAAACACCTTTGGCTACACTCAGTGTCCTGGGAGCCACATGTTGCTTTTCTGGTTTTATTTATCAAAGAAGCAAGAAAGATTAACTAGAATAGGAGAAATCATGCAGTATTGGGAAACTGGACCCTCTAAAAGGAATGGATGTATGCAAGGACATGCAACTATTCATGTATAAAAAGTAGAAATAGTCTAAAGTAAGCGTTTAATTGCAAGACCGATAACAACTGCTCAGACTGCTCAGTGATTACTTCAAAATACTAGTCTGAAATCCCTAGGTGGGCCGCTTTAAGTAGCTGTAGGTGGTGAAAGTTAATTTCGACCCCAACTGCCTGACTCCCAGATATCAACTGGACAATTGCCTTGCCCAGGGAATCAGTGCCAATAGCTGTTTACAGTGTGTATCACAGCACTCAGAGCCAAAACTGAAGGGAAAGTCCATGGACACGTGCAATTAGAAAAAAAAATAATCACAAATCCACTGGGTCTAAAGAAAAACCCCTTATCCAGGATTGCTAATTGCTAAAAAATCCTGGGATGTTTTAGCAATTCTACAATGTTGGTGTCTAAACTGAAATAGAAACAAAATATTGAAATTAGAGTAAGTAAACACATGGACGAGAATATTGCTGTTTACACAACGGAGAAGTCAGATCAGAATGTTTCTGAATAATGCATCTTGTCAGGAAGATACATCCTTTCAGGCATGCACATGTCTGTATTTACACCCACAGAGACATCATAGTGCCATAGATGGGTTCTACCTTCCTGCCTCCTTTTGTTGCCTCTTCCGAGGATATACCCCTCTGGAAGTTCATGTCACGGGGGGTTAACCCTTTGCAGTTGGATCATTTTTATTGCAATTTTTACTTCTATTTGGACTGTAGACATTTTCCTGAGCAGCCATAGCTCACATAATTTTATGGGCTCCTTTATTAAAAAAAAAAAAAAAAAAATCCTTGTTTAGTCTAAATAACTCTAGAAAATTTTATAAGTGGGATTGAGCCCCTTTAGTTCCAGGTCTGTGTTTAACCATTACATCCTTGGATTTAGCTTCTTCAAGCAAATTCTAGAAGTGGGATTCAGCCCCTTTATTTCCAGGTCTCTGTGTAACCATTATATCCTTGGATTTAGCTTCTTGAAGCAAATTTCCTGCCACCAACTGCCCGATTTATTAGATGAACACTTTCCTCTTTTTAAAGAAAAACGTGCAGGTGAATTTCAGGAATTTTTATTATTATTATTATTATTATTAATATTAAAAATTCGTTTTAAAAAACTGCCCAGTACCTTTTCTTTTCTGTCTTTCTTTTTTGTATTTCACGGAGTAATCACCTGACCCGAAGCCACAGCATCGCACAAAGCAGCCCCCTGTTAATGGAAGGCAGCTGGGGGAGTAAATCCATCCTGGATCAAATGTTTACAAACAAACCGCGGCACGAAACCCTTCCTCAGGGAAAAAAAATAAATAAATAAATAAATAAAAAGAAAAAAAAAACCACCCTGAGGGGTAAAAGGTAAAGGAACGCCCCCAGCTCGCACGGGGAACGGTCCAGGACGGGTTCCGGCGGGGGCTGCGGCGGCGCCGTTCGCCCGCTCGGCCCCCGGGCGCGGCCGCCCCCCCGTCCCCGCCGCACTCACACACACACACACACACAGAGACACACGGTCCCTCCCGCCCCCGGTGCTCGGGGCGGTGCTGAGCGGCGGAGCGGCGGCGGGGAGCCATGCTCTCGAGGAAGGGGATCATCCCCGAGGAGTACGTGCTGACCCGGCTGGCGGAGGATGTGCCGGATCACGCCCGGTACCGCGCGCGGGAGAGGCGGGCGCGTTTCGTGGGCAAGAACGGCGCCTGCAATGTGGCCCACAAAAATATCCGGGAGCAGGGACGCTTCCTCCAGGATGTCTTCACCACGCTGGTGGACCTCAAGTGGCCACACACGCTGCTCATCTTCACCATGTCCTTCCTCTGCACCTGGCTGCTCTTCGGCATGGTCTGGTGGCTCATCGCCTTCGCCCACGGGGACCTGGACCACAGCACGCGGCTGCAGCGGGACCCCGGGGAGGGGGTGGGTGCCCCAGCCAACTTTGTGCCCTGCGTGACCAGCATCCACTCCTTCACCTCCGCCTTCCTTTTCTCCATCGAGGTGCAGGTGACGATCGGCTTTGGCGGGCGCATGGTGACGGAGGAGTGCCCGGCCGCCATCCTGGTGCTGATTGTGCAGAACATCGTGGGGCTGGTGATCAACGCCATCATGCTGGGCTGCATCTTCATGAAGACCTCGCAGGCCCACCGACGGGCCGAGACCCTCATCTTCAGCAAACACGCGGTCATCGCCCTGCGGGAGGGCAAGCTCTGCTTCATGCTGCGCGTGGGCGACCTCCGGAAGAGCATGATCATCAGTGCCACCATCCGCATGCAGGTGGTGAAGAAGACCGCCAGCCTGGAGGGGGAGGTGGTGCCCCTCAACCAGATCGACATCCAGATGGAGAACCCCGTGGGGGGCAACAGCATCTTCCTCGTCTCCCCACTCATCATCTACCACGTGATAGACAAGAACAGCCCCCTCTATGACATTTCCCCCATGAACCTTCACCACCACGAGGACCTGGAAATCATTGTCATCTTGGAAGGGGTGGTGGAGACCACAGGCATCACCACTCAAGCCAGAACCTCCTACCTGGCAGACGAAATCCTCTGGGGCCAAAGGTTTGTGCCCATTGTGGCAGAGGAAGATGGGCGATACTCTGTGGATTACTCTAAATTTGGCAACACAGTGAAAGTGCCCACCCCTTCTTGCACTGCGAGGCAGCTGGAGGAGGACAAGAGCATTATGGACACCATGACATTGTCCCCTAAAAGCACAATGAGGAGGAGGTCTGTCAAGCTAAAACCCAAGTTTACCATAAGTGAAGAGCCTTCCTGATGCCTTCTGACTGGAAAACTCTGTTAGGGCTTTGTATCTGAAAGATGATCTCATGAACTCAAAACACTGAGGTGGCCTCTTACTTTTTTTTAAATTCAGGTTGGTAGCACAAGGTATGTTCTGGTATTATTTATTGTGGGGAAATCTAAAGCTAATTATATTTTTTTAAAGATGTGAGAGATTTCAAGCAGAACTGGGTGTAGGAAAATCATGGTCTGCAGCTTTAAATTTCAAGTCAGACTATTTAATTGCACGATCATTCTGCATTTATTCAACTGCAGGTAATAACACATTTTCTCAAAAAATAAATGTGTATTTATCCTCAGACATTGCAGTTTTTAGGGTCTTGCAGTGTTCGCAAGTCAGTAGTTTTTAACTGCTTTTTTTTCTTACTTGAACAATCAATATAGCAAAATAAAATATTAATAATTAATAAAGTAGGCTGGATTTAAATTATAACAAAAGGGTCAGACAATGTTATGTATGACAGAAGACCAGATCCGGAAGTGTCTATATATTATACTCTATGTCTCAAAGAAATATACTGCTGGATTTGCATCATCCATATTGTGTTGTATGGAGCCACTCCTACCAGATGCAATATGAAATGTATTTGAATATTTACCTTTGTTTATTTTAAAAACCTTTACACTTCCAAAATAAAACATTCAGGAATACCTATTTGGACTGTACATTTCTGATAGTAAGCAATACTTTGCCTTTAAAAAGAGTAACAGATAATATACAGTTGAAATTAATTATAAGTCAGAAAAATTCTGTATTTCAATTTCTACATGAAGAGAAGCAACATTCCCCTCTGTCCAAGCCACATGGCAATAGGATACTCAGTAAAAAAATTAACCTCTCTTGGGTCATGGTGAATTCTGCTAGATAATCAGGGAATAAAAATAGAATTTGATATTTTAAATGAAAGGGCAACGCTGAATGCTGAAATTATATCTGCATACAGTAGGCAAAACCTTTCACTCCTTTCCCTTTTATAAAAGAAGCTGAGGTTTTTGTGCTTAGGGGAGGGAGGGGAGGGAGGGATGTGTAAAACAGTGTGGTCACTTCTGGGATGCTGTGTCACAAAATATACTCCTGCTGAGGAAACGATTCCCTTTCTAATTTGATCCCGATCTCCCTACCCACCCGGCGCCTGCCTTAGTTTTTAGCTGAATTCCAGACCTGTCATTTACCAGCAAACATGAAGGAGCCATGTTCACCCGCTCGGTTCCACAGTGATAACAGGAGCAATTCCCCTTAGCACACTCCTGCAAATCCACTATCTGGGCACACTGGTAACAGCAGCAATTTTATTTCTATGCAGGGTTATCAGGAGGTAGCTCCAGGATAAACTACAGTGCAACCAGTCACCCGGAAAAAAATATAGTGTTCAAATACAACCTAAAAATAAGTATTACAGAACTGATCCAATGCCTGGTTACACAAGCTGTGCAGAGAGGCACCAAGTTAGTTTGAACTTAAAGGAGCTTCTAGTATCAAGTCCTGTGTGTTATGTAGTTCACAACAGACACCCAAAATGGTTTGTCTTGGCAACATTATGGCAAACTTTTTATGCCTTGTCAGTGTAACAATAAGACAAACTCATTCAAAAGTATAAGAAAACTTCCATAGTGACTGCAGAATGCTTTCAGGCATCTATAATGAAAGAGAACAATTTCTGGCTGAAATCAAATGTTGTTTTAAAATGCTAAAATATTAGTTATATTTTTGCTGTTTGTGTATTTCAATTTTATGAAGTCCTGTATCAGCATTATCAGACTGCCAGTTACAGGAATAAATACCTGCTCAGTTTCCAAATTCCCGCTACACCAGTACTCTCCTGTGAACAGCTCTGAAAGTGTGATAAGAGTTTGACAACAAAAAGACAGTAAAACTAGCATTAACAAATAGTCAGCAAAGAAAATTTGGGAAGGCATATTTTACATTTGTAATCATACCCCCCCTTATTTTTTAAAATACTGAACAGTTAAATGCCTTTGATGATTAAATTTCTTCTGTCAGACTGAGTTGAACTGTCACATTATTTTCCAGCTTTCCCTTTTACTGCCACTGTGCTGTCTCCCATTGCCTGTCGGAGGGCACTTACCGTAGAGCTACCTGCATTTCCCAGGCACCTTCGTTCTTTTGAAAGTTCATTTTTTTTAATCACTTGTCACAATAGCACTGCTCTATTCTTACAAGAGTCATAGACAAAATATTAGTTAGCTTTCCAGTGACTTGAAATCTTTGACTTCTCCACAGTCTCCTTAGTGCCTTATTTCAATGTGTAAGATACACCTTTCGGTTCTCTCATAAAACATTTTCAGCTCTGGTTGCATTTTAAAGCTCTTTTCAAGGTTTGACCTAAATGTGAAGCAGTTTCAGCAGCAATATCATGCAACTATTTTCAGGAGCTGATGCAAGCTTCTTTTTGCCTCAGGGAGATCTGTGAAGGAGAGAGGTAGAAAATTCTCTTTGTTCACTATGAATGAAGGGAAAACATGGGAGGAAACAGTTTGCTTTCACTGGGCTGCTGTCAGGACCATCTTTTATGTCACTTCTTTTACAAGAATTGGCCTGATTTTCCACGTCTTGCAATAAAGAGGCATCAAAATATTATGAGGAAGGCAGGATTTGTGCTGTTAAAACAGTGAATTATTTGAATCAAAGTGTTGGTGATTTTGAATCTTGGGATTGTTTTGATCTAAAATCCTTCTGTTCTTTCACCATTGAAAATTCTCAAAAGCATTTCAGGGGCAGAGCAGGGAAGAGTAAGTGTACTTATTTTGCACTAGTGATGTCACTTCTTTTTGGGGATCCTTTCATTTTGTCATTTACACAGTATTTAGGAGCACAGGTATCTGAAATTTTTCTGAAAGTTGCACTGTGCTGACCGCCCCCATCCTCCGTGGGAGGGTTCTGAAGAAGGCATCAGTGCAATCATTTGACGTACAAAAGTCTTCTTTCTCAGCAATGAGCGAACGCTGCGTTTTTTTTGTAGTTGAAGTCCAAAGTGAGTGGGCTTTTGAGCTTTCTTTCTCAGCCCACGTCTGCTTTTTGGTAGGTGGTATCACAGTTTGGATCCTGCTCAGCAGCCAGGGAGAGTGTGCCGTGGCTCCCACATGTCCTCTGCACAGAAACCAGCATGAGGGAAGCCGGAGGCTTGCCCTGTCTGAGGTGTGGACATGGACGCAAGAAGTAGGAAGCACAGGTTTTGTAGTGACCCAGTGATGAGTTTTGGATGTGGCAGAACCGAGTCCATGGGAATTTCCTTTCATGTACTTCAGACTCCAGATATCATCATCAGTTTGTACTCATAAATTCAAACTGTTTAGTGCATTCAAACTGGAGCTTGTGAAGCTCCTTGGATGGAGAGAAGGATCATAGAGCTGGTTAATCAGAAAGGGAGACTGGAGAACACTTATGTTTTATACCATAGTTTTAAAATACTTGTAGTGACTGCTGGTGAGCCACTGAACATATCAGTTTCGTGTTGTGTTTCCTAATGAAATCAAGGGACATACTTGTGCAAAATTAGAGTATAACAAGGTCCCACTTTGTCTCTTTATCCCTCAAAGCCATGATAAGTACAGTACTTCAGTAGAACATGTCCCTATAAAATAGATACAAACCAGAAGTGAACTGAAGAGGTGGTATATTAAGGCAAAAGGGAGTAAGGAACACAAAATAAATACATTTAAAATCATGAAATTACACAGTGAGAAGACAAGAATGTCAAGAAGTAATGAACTGTTTTCTTTCCAAGGACCAGCAAAGGTGTGACAATGCTGATATGTGAGATCAGAGGCCTAAAAAGCAGTTATGAGGGACTGGTATAAAAGTCTTTAAGAAGGCCATGGTTTACATGCTAGCATAGAGTAACAACAGGGTCAATGTCAAAATTCTGGCTCCCCTGTAAGGCGAGACTGCAGGCTGGGCATGATCAGCATTACTCAATCCAGTGGGTCAATATTGCTGTGTGTTGAGCAAGGTACGAGTCACAACAGAGCCCTATTGGAAGCAATGTTAGGAGGACTCTTTGGCATCTGATCCTTGTGGTTATTTATTAATAGTTAATAATATCAAACTAACAAGTAATTAATAGTTCTTTGAAAACTCAATTTGTTTCTTCATGTTTTGCTTTCTCTTCCACTCTTTCTTTGTACATCAGTGTCCCCTAAAAGTAATTATCATAGGTGTGCTAGCACCAATTGTTCGGGGTAAAGCACAAGAATGTTTTGAGAAATAAAATACAAAATTTAAATAGATACTAGAAGCCCAAAAACCTCTGTGAAATTGCCAAGCTTGCAACTTTAATAGTGATTATTTGTACAAAGCATGGAAATACCTATTCCTAGGAACTGGATATTAACAAACCACCATGAATTATTCCCTCTTGTTCGTTTTGCAGGTTTGTGTGGAAGGGGAAGTGCTTTAGCTCTTCAGATTAAGGTTGAGGAGAAAAGAAGAAGGTTCAAAAATCACTGCATTTTAGGCTCCCTGGTTACACCTTTCCCTCTCCTCATGCTCAAAGTCATACTTGTGTGTCCACTAAAAATGGGCAGGGTCAGTGCTCCTCGCAGTGCATGTTCCTGTGTGGAACTTCCTTTATCCAGGCCCAGCTGCCCCATTCCAAGATGGACATCTCAAACCCATCAGCCCTGATCCAAGCTTCCTGGAAGGCAGTAGAAAAATTTCCACCTATTTCAGCATGGTTTTGGATCAAATGGCATAATCTGCCAACCTGCTGAAAGCATGTGCTGCAGCAGAAAGGGAGATCTAACCATCACTGCAGACCTTACTGAAGCAAAGATGTTGTTTGAGGTGAGAGGACCCTTGGGTGAAGAAGGCCTTGGGTGAGCTGGACCAGAGCAGGCGGTGGGACGTGTGTTCAGCGTGGCTGGGGACTGTCAAACTGTCTGTGACAAGTGACTCAGTGCACTATTTTTGATCCAGCAACGGGAGAAAGATACGTGATACAAACCTCCATACCCCCAAGGAGAACTATTAAAAGAGCAGAAGACATTCTTAAGAGGCTGCAGATACCGCTGCCTCCATCCTGCTCTAAGCACTGCTGGGTGCCTGCAGAGGATGGTATGCTGCATGTTTTTCTGGCTTACGCCCCTGTTTTAATATATAGTGTGACTTTAAGGAGTTATCACAGGGGAATGACTCAGTTTAAAGAGAATTTTCAAAAATCACCACCTGCAGCTCCTCTTCACCACTTGCCTCTGTCAACCTTTGTGCCTTAGTTAGGAGTTTAAATGCCAATGGCAACACCCAATGAGAGGTTTCCTAACCAGCTCCCTTACTGCAAAGCTCAGCAGCATTAAATAAGCAATCCCATCTGAACTGGAGAGGGCTTAGAGGCCTTGTGACAGTGGCCCCACAGAGAAACATGTCTTCTCTTTCTTTCCCTTGCAGGAGCTGAGGCCCTGAGTTAGGAGTAGGGCTGCCATGTGCTATGGCAGGAGGTGGGAACCACATTTTTCCTTCTCTAGTTTTTCCTTTTCCATTTGCTATTTTAGGTGGCCAATACCTGCTTATGGTTTTGCCTTTATGTTTTCTCTGCCCAAGAGAGGGTAGGCACAGCATATAAATAGCATTGTTGTTGTTATAATCACAATAATGTTATTCCTGAGTGGAGTTGAAGCACAGAAATTAACAGTGAGCATCACTGCCAGAAAGAAGGGACCCTTGACTTCAATGAGCGCCCAGTCTATCCAGCCCTCATTTTAAATCCTGGGCCTTTAAATCCAAGAGAGCTTGCCAAGGAGTTCATTAGCACCAGGATTTCCCTCTTAGGGTTGGGAATTGTTAGGTTAATGGGGTGGGCAGCTGACTCAAATAGTCTCTGATGGTGCCTTTGCTGCAATAGTGATGCTGTTCCTCGACTTCAGCATCTCCTGGGAACTTCTTCCTGTGCCTTGTGAGTAAAAATCCTGTTTCGTTTCCTTTTCTCTAGCATGAGAGAATAAAGCCCTTGTGTCTATTGTATAATCCTCTATGCTAAGGCACTTGAATGACTTGAATGTTTATGTCGTTGTCTTAGATCAGCTTGTCCTGTTTGTCATGTACCTGAAAGGAGGTTGTAATGAGGTGGGTTTTGG